TATTTTGCGCAATCAGCTGATAGCTTCCACAGCCGCATAAATTTTTATGTTGAGGAGATCGCCTGCTGTTCCAGATTTGCTTTCGTTTATTTCTTTTTTTTTTATTTCAAGAAGGAGAAGCATTCTTTTCCAATTACTTGATATATGTATTGATATTAAAACCAATGCAAAAAAGTATTTTTTGCACAAAGAATCTCACTATACAAAATAAAAATCTTTTCCCGCATTAGATCCAAAATTACGCGACTCTAAAGTAAATTTTATTACTTTTCTTAAACATTCGAAATTGAATTTGGTATTCTGGCGAACTAGTTACAATGTTTGAAAAAAATTTGGTAGGACCGCTTTTTTCGTAAATGTCAAAATACATTTGCCAGTTGATACAGTAAAAAGAAAAATATCCACATCGAAATGGAATATGGTGGACAAAAGAATTGAAAAAGTTATATTAATTCGTTTATTAAATCATAAATATTTGAACGTAATTATGAAAAATATGCTTGGACAACAAAAAAAAACTGAATGAACACCGTATCTTACAAATTAAAGATCTAATTTTCGTCAATGAATTTCATAATTTAAATGTTCGATTATAAACGCAAGTTAAATATACATGATCTATATGGTAACAAATAATTAGTTACGCATTCACTTTTAATTTCTTTTGATTAAAACTTCGCATTATCTTCGATTATTTAATATAATGTTGCGAAAATGCGAGGCGAATGTCAGATGAAAGAGAGAAGCCGATAACACAAGAACCTTCCATAGCGAACAATTCGATGCTTCTACGCTTTCGTCTGCGAGCAGCCGACTGCTATATAAAGGCGACACTCAGCTGCAAGTCAAGCAGTGACAAAGCAAATTGGTTGGCGTTAACATCAGTGAAGACGTAAAGTGAACGCGTTGGGAATTACATTTAAGTAGAGGAAATTGTGAAAGTTGATGTTAGTGATTATAAATAGTAAAGTGCAGTATAATTGAATTGTGAATTACTGAGAAAATAAAGGACATTAGATAGAATCTTTATAACGAAAGAAACTGCAAATTAAGTTGGCGAGTTTTTATTTAACAATCCAGAGATCGTACCCGAAGGATCTAGAAAATAATCGAGGTTGATTCAGTAAAATCGTAACAATAAGTTAAAAAAGTCAATACTGGCAACCTTGTATAGCAAAGCGAAATGAGTCAAACCTGTTTTACGGAAAAAGTCAAATCGCCGCTGGTTTCTGGGGGCAAAATTTAGTAAAAGTTAACAAGTTCTTGAATTGAATTGGTAATGTTATGCCAGTTTCTTTAATAATTTCAATTTTTTTCTTCTTTTATATACAAAAAACAGTTGGTTTTTAATCAATGCAAATCTTATTATATGATTCTTCTCTCTTTTGTTTTGATTTGCCAGCTGGTTTTGATAAAATTTCGATAAGAAGTAGAGAAGGCATTGATTTGGTCGTACTGCGCTTGGAAATTAAGAACGAATTACCTACTTTTACTGTAATTCAACCACGAAAATATGTAGGGCGAATTATGGCGCTCTCGTCAGATATGTTGCTATGAACGGAAGGTATGTCAGATGGGTTTTATCAAAATTTGTTAGCGTACCATCAGGAGATGACTACCTCTCGGCCTGATTTTATTTATGTTATTTTGATACATCTTCGGTAATAAGGAATTAAAATTTCTTGTTATAAGCCGATGATGTGAAAATTTGGGTCGGCTTCGCGAGGGTGCACCAGGATTTGAAAAAAAAATTCCTTTTGGAGGGTAAAAAAAAGGTCATGCACATCACAAAAATATATGTCGAGTTTTGACCAACCGGAATTCCCAAATACACGCTATAATAGTGACAAAGAACACTTAAATATCACTAATAATAATACCTTATAACGTTGAAAACGATTTTGTTTAGTTAGAATTATCAAAACATTAATATTTTTCATCATTTTTATACATAAAAATTCTGATCTCACGTTTGTTTGCTTTAGTAAACTAAGTATACATGTCCGTTAGAACCAAAAAAACTGTGCCGGTTTACCTTTGCAGAGTAAGTATAATATATTGCCTTAATATCCCTTTCCAACTTACATAGGTGCTTTACTTTAGAATACTGTGCAAGGCGAAGCCGGTCTTTCACATACAAAGGTGTTTCACTGTACTGTAGCACGAGCTCGGCCGAAAATCGTTTGAGCGGTTCCAAAGCGCCAAATATATACATAAACTGCAAACGAAAATAAATATCAGTTCAACCACTATATAAATAAAATAAACAGCCAGTAGAAATACTTGACAGTTCTCGTAAACTCAAAACCTTCAAACTCAAACAAGTGAAAAAGAAGAGTGGCAGAAATGTCAACACGAAGATATGGGCTTAAAAATTCTAATGCACGAATTGGAGATGGGCACACAGCCAAGTAATGAGTAAATGCCAGCAGAAAGTCCAAATTGTAAAGGAGAATGCCGTAGGGACCTGCTATTTCTCTCCACTATGGTCCCAATGGAGGACTCCTGGGGATAGCGCAAGTCAAAGAAAAAATATCGAATCGGCGGTATTCCTACTCCGCCGTGTATCGAATTTAGACTCTTGGAAGACCTATAAACATTATAAAAGGTGTCAACTTAAAAGGTATCTAATAGCGCCGACCGGAGGTTGGTTTAGAGAGGAGCATAATTATCGAATAGGTATGACAGATAATGAAGATATCGTTAACTGCATCCTGGATATATTTACCGAGAAAATAACTTAAGATTTCATGAGCGATAAGAACGAGTTTAAAGTGAGGTATGTGAAAGTGGCTGCCAGCACTGCAGTCCTTAGTTAGAAAGTGAACTGAAAGTATACTGTGAAAGATATATATACATAGTTACGGTGTTCCGTAATTTTAAGCAAATAGTAAATAATTGAGTAATAAACGGTCTAACAAATTTTGTAGCTTTAATACAACAACCCAGTGAAATAAGTCGAACGATTTGGTAGATCATCGGGACTCTTTTAGCAAACTCGAGCTGTAGAGCAAGCTGTACAACATTATCATTGTATCCAAAATTTTTTTTTTTAAGAATATTGTAAGAAGCAGGAAATATAAGACTTATAGTAGCTTTGATAATGATGGATGAAATTTTACATGACGAGGAAACACAAAACTTGAAGAAAAAACGGAAGACAACTGGAAAAGAATGATGGTGCTAACAGTGGTACCAAAAAATAGAAATATTTTCCAATAGGAAATGGTTTTTAAAAACTTCTGCGGATGAAGGACAGAGTATATCAACAGTGGTTTGGATGCCTTAGGACCATTATCGAACAAGAAAACATGTTTATGCGAGAAGCTTTAACACCGAAAGTTAGACTTTCCTCAACTTTGCTATTGAAAACTCTTTAATTTGCCACTTTTGGGTATTTCTGATCTGCACCGAAGACACTACTACTTGTTGTACATAAGTGATACTCACGATAATGCAAATATTATCCTTTGGGATTTATTTAACAATCCCACTTCTGACACCCATTGTTACGATTTTACTAAATCAACCTCGATGATTTTCTGAATCCATCGGGTACGATCTCTGGATTGTTAAATAAAACTCGTCAACTTAATTTGCAGTTTCTTTCGTTACAAAGAATTTATCTCATGTCCTTTATTTACTCAGTAATTCACAATTCAATTACAAGGCACTTTACTAGCTACAGTCTTCCACAATTTACTCTACTTAAATGTAATTCACAACGCGTTTACTTTACGACTTTACCGATGTTAACGCCAACGAGCTCACTTTGTAACTAATTTAACTTGCAGCTGAGTGTTGCCCTTATATAGCAGTCGGCTGTTCGCAGACGAAACCGTAGAAGCATCGATTTGTTCACTATGGAAGGTTCTTGTTTTATCGTTTCTAGAATGTACTAGTTATCGGCTTCCCTCTTTCCTCTGAGATTCGCCTGGCACTTTCGCAACAATATTGTTACGATTTTACTAAATCAACCTCGATTATTTTCTAGATCCTTCGGGTACGATCTCTGGATTGTAAAATAAAAACTCGCCAACTCAATTTGCAGTTTCTTTCTTTATAAAGAATTAATCTAATGTCCTTTATTTTCTCAGTAATTCACAATTCAATTATACTACACTTTACTATTTATAATCACTAACATCAACTTTTCACAATTTACTTTACTTAAATGTAATCTCCAACGCGTTCACTTTACGACTTCACTGATGTTAACGTTGTTGTTGTTGTTGTTGTTGTAACCGCAAGTTATTCCCCGAATTGGTTTTCGGGGAATATTGCGGGAGTGAAAGTCCTTGGCCGAATAAAAAATCCGGGTCGTTCCGGTATAAAGACCCGACTGTCGCGGGAACTATTGGATTTTAGTCGCCTCTTACGACAGGCATGCCTTACCACGGGTAAATTCTTGAGCCCCTAACCCGCAGGAATACTGATGTTAACGTCAACCAGTTCGCTTTGTCACTAACTTCACTTGCAGCTGAGTGTCGCCCTTATATAGCAGTCGGCTGCGCGCAGACGAAACCGTAGAAGCATCGAATTGTTCGCTATGGAAGGTTCTTGTTTTATCGTTTCTAGAACGT